CCTGTAGTCCCAGCTACTTGGGAGGCGGAGGCAAGAGAATCACTTGAACTGGGAAGCTGGAGGTTGCAGTGAGCAGAGATCGCCCCACTGCACTCCAGCCTGGGTGACAGTGAAACTCCATCTCAAAAAAAAAAAAAAAAACAATTTCCAGTCTTGAGGCTGCCCAGCCTGAAGGTTATTGTGGTTTCTTACTTTCCTTCAAAGTAAGACACCACAACGAAATGCCAAAAGGATTTCAAAAGTTGCAGGTGGAAGACGCCACCAGAGGCCGAGGCCCGGCCCTCCGTGCAGGGACCTTCACCAACACACGCCTCCCCCAAGCCCAGGCCCTGACCCTGATGGGCCCTCTGCCCTTCATGGCGCACGCTCCCCAGAGGACGAGCCGACGCAGATGCAGGGATGCAGCGCCCATCCATGTGCACTGTGGACACAGTGGCACCCTCCCCTCTCCTCCCTCCAGGTGAGAGGCTGTGTCGCTTGTCCTGGTCACAGGGCAGCATGCCCGTCAGCCTGGCCCTGGGGGCTGGGGGCTGGACGAGCTCCCTGCACAAGCGGGTCTGCCTGCTCGCAGCGTCTCTCTGGGACTGTGCTGCGTCTGGTGTCCAGTCACCATGGGGCGCAGGTCACGGTACTGTTCCCTCGCAGCCTCTGGCCTCCGCTGTGTGCATCTGGAATCCGGGGCCAGCCTCTGGCTCTCCTTCCAGTCACTTCCCCGGACCAGCATCACTAATCAGGTGTCAATTGTAGTTCTTAGTTTTTAAAAAGCCCACACTTCAACGTCGAAAAACAGACTACAGAGGCTGTGCCAACCATGAATGCAGAAGGTGACACCAGCCAGCCCCCCTGGAGGCCCCTCAAGAGCCCGGCCCTGCTCCCTGTGCTTCCCAGAAACCAAGCAGCATCCACCCAGGCAGGCGAAGGCACAAGAATTTATTCAAGATTTCTACCACACTGTGGGAAACATCAATAAACTGAAAATTCTGAGTCACTGAAGTCTGGGGTTGACGCTGGCTCTCACTGTAGCCTGTGTTGGGACCACCGGCAGCCACGTGTGCCTCCACGCATGGCTGCCGGCCGAGCTCAGCCTGAAGACGTGCTCTCAGCACGAGCGGGAGGATTGGCCCCAGACGCAGCGGCTCCCCAGCCTGAGCCTGGGAGAAAGCACGTCGGCCAGCTCACCCTGGAGGTCGTTCCTCACAGGCTGTAGTGAGCTCAGAGTCGAGAGGTTAGAGGACCTCAGACTAAGAGGTGCAACAAATAACGGCAAGAACATTCTGGAAACAATGCCACAGACAGTGAAATCTTTTATACTTGCACTCACACTTGGTGAGGGCCTCAGATGTGAAACCCTGGGGAAGAGTGCATGTGACCTCGAGTTCCGCCAGAACGTGGCCGGGAGAGACGTGCTGCCGTGGCGGTGGCGGGCGTGGCCCTCATGGCCAACGGGTGCTAGGCCTCCTCCAGATCCCCGGGCGCCTGTCTAAGTTGCCGGCTGTGGACCACCTGCAAAGCGCCCCCCACAGCCTGGCGGAGCTGGGCATCCAGGGCACCACGGAGGTCGTTCACCTGGACATCAGGTGGGGGGTTAAAGCCAATGATGACTCCGTCCTTCGGGGCCGGCTCGTCCTCTGCACGAGGGCCCAGGTCCCGCCGCCGCCTCCGGAGGTCGGAGCCAGCTTGCAGCTTCAGGTCTCTGTTGGGCTTGGCATTGTCCGGCCTCTGGGCCATGGGGGCAGCTCGTTTGGGCCCCAGCGCTGGCTCCGGCCTCTGCCTGGGCTCCTGGACAGCAGTGTCCTCCCCACCTCCTGGCTGCTTGTGGGACACAGGCACGTGGTCCCTGCCGTGGGCCTCCCTTCTCATCTCCAGGTGACCACCATGGTCTAGCTGGTGGCCCTGCTGTCCATCCTGCTCGCCATCAGAGATGACCCGTCGCTCCGGCTGGCGTAACGCAGCCTGGGGCTGCAGGGCTGCTCCCTCCAACTTGCCAGGCAGGCCTTCTGCAAGGCCCAGGCCTCGGCTCATTTGCTTGGACTTCACACGAAGGTCCCCTGTCTCTGCTCCTGGCCCTGCCTCCAGCCGGTTGGCTTCCCTCGGAATGCCAGTGCCAGTGGCTGCCACCTCCTTCCCAGGTTTCTTCCTTTCTTGGGAACCGCCACCAGGAACATCCTGATTTTGCCTGGGGAATTCCTCTGCAAGGCGCTCCTCTGCGCCCTCGGCTTCCCTGGCGGGGTCCGGCACAAGCACCTGCTCCGTGACCTTAGGGAGGAGCTCCTTCACCGTGCCAGCTGCCCTGGGGGCAGCATCCTTCTGGCCGTCTCTTAGCTTGGCCAGGGCTCGCCGTGGCTCCGTGTCAGAGCCGCCATCTGGAGGGCCAGCAGGCTGTCTGCCCACAGCCCCCTCAAGGTGCTCCAGGGAGTGCTGGTTAAGGTCCTGGGATGGAGCAGGGCGGCCCCCAGGAGCTCTGAGGGCAGGGTCCAAAAGCAGGGGAGGCAGATTCTCCACCGTATCCCTGGCCTTGCCTTCGGGGGCCTCCTGGCCTCTGGGCACTGCCACCCCGGGCTCTGGCTGCATGCCCACTGCAAATGAAGTCAGTCATCAGTTTAGCCACGGCACTGAACATAGGCTGCCAGTGGAGGGACTCAAAACAACAAGCTGGCAACCACCCTCAGGAAAGGCCACGGGGCCTGAGACCATAGCAACCACTGACACCAGCAACCAAAACCCAGACTCCCCCTCAGGACAGGCCACAGGGCCTTAGACCCAGCCACACAGGACAGCAGGAGCCGCTGCCTGGCCCCACCCCCTTGCCTGCCGCCCCACCCCCTTGCCTGCCACCCCGCCTACCCTGCCTGGGCTTGTCGTCCTCGTCCTCCTGCCTCTGCTGGTGGATCTCCTTGTGCTGCTCCTCGATCACCGCCAGCAGCTTCTCCTGCTGGTCCAGCAAGCGCTTTTGCTGCACCTGCTGTTCTTTGATCACCTGAAGCAGGACAGCATGGTCCAGCATCTCCGCCCTGCCAGCTTCTGGGTTTGGAAAACGCAAAGTCAGAGGGTGCCCACACACCGTGCTGGGCCAAGGACGGCACCGGCCCACAGCAAGGCCACGCACAGGTCACCTGCAGGGAGTGTGCTGGGACCAGCCGCCACTGGCACACTCGTCATGAACCTGACCATGAAGCGTGCCCGGACAGCTCAGTGAGACACACAGGCCTGGCCCAGGAGAGGCTGTGCCCTGACTGCCCCCAGGACACCCCCAACAGCCCCTCCCGCACAGCCAGCCTCTCTGCCGACGGGACCCCAGCGAACTTGCTTGTTACCCACTGAAAATGAGTTTCCAAAGCAACACAGAGTCAAAAGGAATGCGTCAGAATGTCAGGGACGGTTATCTGGGCTAGGTGGGTTTTTTTCCTTCTTTTTCCATTTACACATTCAGTTGTTCTAGGACAAGCAGATGAGAAAATAAGCCTGGACACGGCAGCTCACGCCCGTAATCCCAGCAATTTGGGAGGCCGAGGCAGGAGGATTACTTGAGCCCAGGAGTTAGAGACCAGCCTGGGAAACATAGCAAGACCCCATCTCTACAAAAGAAATGCAGAAATACAAATTAGCCGGGCATGGTGGTGCACGCCTGTACCCCCAGCTACTTAGGAGGCTGAGGTGAAAGCATCACTTGAGCCCAGGAGGTCAAGGCTGCAGTGAGCCGTGATCGAGCCACTGCACTCCAGCCTGGGCAACAGAGCAAGACGCTGTCTCAAAAAAGGGGGGGGGGGTGTGGAAGAAAAATGATAAGCTATATTTTGAAAAGAATATTGGTACTTTTTCTCCAAGACGACAATTTAAAAAACAAACAAGCTGTCTTCTTTCAAGGGGAACATGGGAGCTGGAGCATCACTGGGGCCCCGGCCAGCCGTCCGGACCACCATTCACTGTGGAAATTCTGGGCAGGCCCTGCATGACGGGGAGCCCTGGAGTACCCAGCGTTAAGGGCCGGTGCCGGCAGCAAGGGCCCAAGGACAGGCCTGCCCGGGGCACACCGGCACGCACCTGCTGCAGGAGGCCTGGTCGGACCCGCTTCAGCGCTGGCCAGTTATTTGCTGCAAGCAGCTGTGGTTTATGTCATTGTTATAACACGTTTGCAAATTACTGTAGGAACCGCTGGAAAATGACGGGTTAGGGCTGTAAGGCATAAAGGTTCAGGGGAGCAAGAAGGATGTTTTGTTAGTGGTGATAGCAAACATCTCAGTGGGGGCCCTGCATGTCAGGCAGACACCGCGACCAGCCAGAACAGTGCAGGGTCAGCCTTCTCCCAGACGCCCGGATGTGGGGGACAGGGCCAGCCCTCTAGCAGCAGCCCCAGCTCCCTGCTAGCACTGGGGCCAGATGCCTGCCTGCAGGGACAGGCCATGACAGGCCAAGCAGGCCTCCCGCAAACTTCCTTTCACATGGGGAAGCGCAGGTGGCACACCGGCCACCTCGGCCACGGGCCACGATCTCACCCTGGGTGCTGCAGGGCTCAACACGGAATAGTCAATGGTACAAGGACAAGATCCCATGTGCTGCCAACACCTCCCCGTACCCCAGGGCAGGGTTTCGGAACAGCAGGCCCCACGACCTCACCTGCTCCTCGAAGGACTAGCCCTGGCCTGGTGCTGGGAGGAGGAGGAAAGGGGGAGACAGAAGGGAGGAGGGGGAGGAGGAAGAAGGAGGAGGGAAGAAAGAGGAGGCAGGAAGAGGAGGGAGAAAGGCAGAGGAAGGAGAAGGGAAAAAGAGGAGGGAAGAGGAGGAGGGAGGAGGAGGAAGAGGAGGGAGGCAGGAAGAAGAGGGAGGAGGGAAGAGGAAGAGGAGGGAAGAGGGAGGAGGGAAGAGGAGGGAGGAGGAAGAGGAGGGAGGAGGGAAAAAGGGGAGGGAGGAGGAGGGAGAAGGGAGGAGGGAAGAGGGAAGAGGAAGAGGTGGCAGAAAAACGGGGAGGGGGAGGAAGGAGCGGAGAAGCCACATGGGACACATGTTAAGCACCATGTAGGAGACAGGCTGTCCCCACAGCCAGAGCCCACCAAGACCATAAGGACCAGGTTGGCAGACGGCATGGAGCTGCCCCCTAGTGAGGCCACACAGGATCTCTCAAGGCGGCTCATGAGAGAGCAGCGCAGGCCCACCCTGTCAGCTGCTGTCCTAAGCAGCCTGCCCTTAGACACTTTCAGAGGCCAGCCGCCCTCCAATGGCAGGCAAGGCCACAGTGGGCTGAGAAGGACCCCAGCATTTGTAACACAAGGGAGCGGAGTGGGCATCAGGACCCCGCCTAAGCATGTGCGCCGGTCCGGCACGTGTCCCCAGGAGGGCTGTCCCGGGGCAGGTGTGCCACCGCGAGGCAGCGCTCAGGTCTATAACACTCAGACACGCTCTGTACTTCAGCACACTGCTTTCCGTGCGTACCTGCTACTATCTTTTTAATTTCAGCTGTTCATCCCGTTGAGAGGCATATGGAAGAAAGGCAGAGTAGGAAACCGTGAAAAGTCTTTTTCAGAAACAAGAAAATCAAAAGAATCAAACAGGTTCAGGTCACAGAGCATAGAAACTGGAAAACAACCATAGCCGGACTAAAGCCTGAGACAAAACCCCACGAGTGAGCTTCTGAAGCAGCTGCAGAGCTCCAGGAGCCCCGGGTGTGCTTTCGGCCCTGCCTGCTGCGCACGCAGCAGGTGCCAGGACGGCGAGCTGCACCCTGAGAAGCCAGGCCGCAGCGCTGGGACATGGTGCTGCACCTGGCCTCCCTCGGGCCTGGCTGTCCTGAAGCCACAGGGCAAGGTGCTTGGGGAGGAAGTGCATGTCTTACAAACGCCCTGGGAAGAACTGCCCACGCCAAAGCTGGCCCGGGGCTCCCAGACCCTCTCCCAGGGGCTTGGCCCCGGAGCCGGAGCAGCTGTGCCATGTGACCCACACAGACCCCCAAAACAGACCCTCTCGATGCCGAGGCACACGTGGACCCCGAATGGGCAGGGCTGAGCATCCTGAGAGAAGGCATGGACGCTCCCATGAAATGTAGGGGACTTTCGGGGAGTGGGGGCTCAGCCACACGCCCTCAGAGGGTGAGTGGACCCCCAGCCTGGGAGAGGACATGGCACGGAGGGCTAACCCACAGACCCACAGTGAGCTGCTGTTACCTTCCCTGCAGAGGTGGAGCCCTAACTGCGTGAAACCACAAGAAGGGGTCACAAAAAGCCACTACCTGGGAACCAAGGGGCAGGAAGGTTTGGAGGAGGATTCACGCAAGCTTTATTCTCAGGAGGGCAAAGGTATGAGGAGCTTTCCTGGAGGCACAGGGGACAGATCCCTGCAGATGAACACAGCCGAGCTCTGAGGGCTGAGGGTGCAGGAGAACATTCTGGGCCAGGGTACAGCCACCCCCAAGCCGGGTCCCCTCCAGGCACAGCCTTAAAACAAACCTACACATCTGAGTGCAGGCACTCCCACACCTGGCTGGCTTTAAATACACTTCGAGTGTTAGAACTGTTGACAAACCTGCTTTAGAATAAGACAAAACGGTCATCATGAGCCACATGCCAATGCCACAGGTGTTTAAAGGGGAGTAAGGGAGAGCAAACATTCCCTGGGAGGTGCCAGAAAGGAAGCTGCTCATGGGAAGGGAGCAGGAAGCTCTCAGAGGGGTCCGCTTAGCAGGCAGCTGGAAAGAGAAGCGGGAGCCTGGCAGGGCTCCCTAGGATGGTCTGGGCATCACCCCAGGGCTGGGGGAAGGGGCTGCTGCTCCCTGGGCCTAAGACCTTACCTTCCAGCTGGCTGGCCGCCTGGTCTCCGCCCACTCGCTCCACGTCCCTCTGCTCTCGAGGCTCGGCCGGCAGCCCAGCCCCTGCGGCCACCTTCTCCGCTGGGAGGGGAGGCTTCCCACCTGCACACATGGTGAAGACCCAGGAGGTTTTGCAGGAAAGTCAAGGGAGGATGGGGGGGACAGAAGGCAAGGGATGGTGAAAAGGAGGTGGCAGATGTTTCTAAAGTGACACCCCCGTTAGCACAGTTTATATTCAACCTGATGATTACTAGCGAAGCAATAAAAAAATATTTAACAACCTCACAGGCTTGTGGCAATGAGCCAATGTGAACTGCCTTTGCAATTAAAATGCAAGAACCGTCCCAACCAGCTCTTAGACGGCACTTAACAACGTGTTACCTGTCAGGCGGCCCCCGCCGCCCCCCGCACGCGCCCAGACACACGAGTACAGCACGGCACCTGACATTTAGTGGTCTGGCAAACAACTGTGTGACAGATATTACAGGAGCTGTCAGCCACCAGCCTCTTCCTGTCCCCACCAGCTGCCAGGCCACTCCATTTGCATACTAATCTGGTGCAAGGAGAGAGACTGGGGACAGAAGGAGAGACCATCGATCCTGCCCAGCCTCCCCTGCCCGAGAGGGGAGCGTCTTCCGAGACGAGCCCGGGCTGACACCCACCATGGTCGCTGTCCTCTGTGGGCTGCCCCGTGTCCCCAGCAGCATTGCCTGGTGGTGGCACCCCGTTGGCCTTTTCCCCTTCACCCGCTGCCGGGGCCTTCTGCTCCTCAGACAGTGCTGCCTGCGGCCGCGGATGCAGATCCCCATTTCCTGGCCCCAGGTCCTCCTTTGCAGGCTGGACAGCTGGCTGACCATCTGCTTCTGGAACTTTCTGGGGATCTTCAGGAAAATCACCCACTTCCTCCAAAGCCGGGGCCTGTCCAGGCCTCTTCCCACCCTCTTCCTGCTCCGGCTCCCGCTTCTCTCTTTCTGAGTTGGGCAGAGGCGGTGCCACCTGGCCCTGGACCCCTGGAGCTTCTCCGCCCGTGTCTCTGGACGGAGGCTTGTTCTCTTCTGGTGCCTCTCGGTCTTGGCCTTCATCTACCACCACCTCGTCGTGAGGAACGGGAGGCTCATGGCGGTGGGCCTCCCCCACGGGCACGGCAATCCCTGTAGGCGCACAGGGGACAGATGGGGTCAGGCTGAGGCCCCACCTTCCCTTCCCAGGGAATCTGAAACGAGTTCTGGTTCCCAGTGGTGTCAACACAGGCCAATAGACACCACCTCCCCACCGGCCTCCCTGCTGCCTGACAATAGGGGCAGCTACTCTTGGAGGGGCAGGACACTCATCTCAACCGAAAGGCAGAGAAGGCAGACAGGACCAGAACTCAGGCTGTGCTGAAGGGAAGAAGACACACAGCCCCGAGAGTTTGCACCGCAGGGCGACTGGGACCCCTCTTCCCGGTCCCCACCCCGCAGCCAGCGCCCAGCACCTTGCCCGGGGCGATCCAGCTGCGCAGCCTCCTGCGCCTCCTTCGCATCTTCCTGCCCGGGCACATCCACGGGGCCCTTGATCTGGGCCTGCTCCAGCTCCTCTCTCTCCTTCGGCAGCTTCGGCTTCTCCCGGCCATCCTCGGCCACGGCCGCGACCGGATCCTGGGCTGGGAGCAGGGCACAGTTAGGGAACAGCACTGCCAGGCAGGTCCAGGAGCTGTGTGGCGCTCCCTGGACTGTGACCACATTTTCCAGCCAAACGGCAGAGCCTAAGCAATTTTTTTTTCCTGTTTGATTGTTAGCAGCTATGTAGCACAGAAAACTGTCATTTTTCATGTGTATTCATAACGAAAATATGTCAAAATGCAACTTACACCTAACTGGGGGCAGTGAGAGCTAGACTCCATGTAATACTCAGACATTACCACCAGATGGCGACATGAACCCACTGACAGATTCCCACCGTTCCCTCCATCACCGTCACCTCCACCATCACTAGCTACCATCACCACCATCATCTCCATCCCCACCACCATCACTGCCCTCACCCCCATCACCACTGTCACCTCCACCATCACTGCCCTCACCCCCGTCACCACTGTCACCTCCACCATC